TCATGCAAAGCAGTTAATACTGTCTCTCTGTGTTTTTCTGGCAGGAACAACTGCCATCTTTCTCCAGGATCTCCAGAGGGGCCCCTTCGGTAGACCACCCCTTGGTGCAACTGCAACCGATCCCACTCTCGGTGTAGTAGACGGGCTTCCTTAAGAGAGTCAGTGAGGAGCAAGTCAGGGCATTGGCTCTCCAAGGCTTTCAATGCCAAGCTACAGAGAGGGTCTTCCAACTGATCCCTTCGCAAGTCTTTCTTGGAGAGTTTTGGCAGACTTTCATCCCCGACTTGGGTGACGTTGCAGTAACATCTGGGAACACCAGCGGCTGACACTCCAAGGTCTTTGGCCCTGGATCCTCCTCCAGCTTGGTGTTCTGCTCCTTGACATAAGGCTTGTACACCTTCGGGAGTCAGCTGAGTCCATTCTTCAGTATAGTCCCTGGAACAATGAGGCCTTCTTGACAATGCATCCGCATCTTTGTTTCCAACTCCTGGTCGATATTTCAGACTGAAAGTGAATTCAGATAAGGCAGCCAGCCATCTGTGACCTGTGGCATCTAACTTCGCCGTAGTGAGGATATAGGTGAGAGGGTTATTGTCGGTCTTGATCACGAATTCAGCCCCGTACAAGTAATCTCTCAGCTTATCCACTACTGCCCACTTTAGAGCCAGAAATTCGAGCTTGTGTGTGGGATAGTTCTTCTCAGTGGGTGCCAAGCTCCGACTCACATAGGCAACAGGCCGAGGGTGCCCGTCATGCTCTTGATACAGCACCCCGCCCAACCCATCTCTGCTAGCATCAACATGCAGCTCGTATGGCTTGGTTGGGTCTGCATAGGCTAGAACTGGAGCAGTGGTTAGACTCCACTTCAGCTGTCTGAAAGCCTCTTCACACTGAGCAGTCCACTGTTCTTGAATGGACTCTCTGGGTTTCCTAGGACCTCCCAGCTGATCGAACAGGTTTTGGCAGATCTGGGTCATCATCTTCCTCTCCACTCTTCAGTAGTTCGTTGAGTGGGCGAGCTGTTTTAGCGAATCCCTCAACAAATCTTCTGTAGTAGGAACAGAATCCCAGAAATGACCTAAGTTCGGTCACATTAGTAGGCCTTGGCCAGGAAGTGACGGCCTCTAGCTTCTGGGGGTCGGTGGCCACTCCATCAGCAGACACAATGTGGCCAAGGTAATTAACTGAGGGTTGATAGAACTGGCACTTCTCCAAGGATAACTTCAACCCCTCATCATGGAGTCTCTTCAGTACCTTCTCTAGACGCTCTTCGTGCTCCTCCAGAGTCTTGCCAAACACAATGATATCATCTAGGTACACCAATACCTCTATCAGGTTCATGTCTCCCACCGTCTTCTCCATTAACCTCTGGAAAGTGGCTGGGGCACCGGAAAGGCCTTGTGGCATGCGGTTGAATTCAAAGAACCCCACTGGGGTAATGAAAGCGGTCTTCTCTCGGTCTTCAGGTTGCATGGGAATTTGATAGTATCCGCTCTTCAAATCCAACACGCTAAAACCACTTGGCCCCTGATAGACTCTGCAAAGCGTCTTCTATTCTTGGAGTGGTGTATTGGTCAGGAATGGTCCTCCTGTTCAGCGTCCGATAATCAATACACAGCCTCAATGCACCATTCTTCTTCCGTACCACCACTATTGGAGAAGCATATGGACTCCGGGACTCTCGGATGATACCTGCCCCTTTCAACTCTGCCAGTTGCTCACGCAGGTCTTCCAAGTCCCCTAAAGGAATCCGTCGAACTCTCTCCCTGAATGGCTTATCCTCTTTAAGACGGATTCGATGTTTGGCACTTTTTGCACATCCCACATCGAATTCACTCTTGGAGAATGCAACCTTCCATCCCTGAAGCTGAGCCTTGGCCCTTTCCTTCCATTCAGGTGGAAGGGGAGTATTTTCCAGATAAAATTCCTTGGCAGGGATCCCATCTTTCTCTTCCCCCACCAAATCAGATAGTGAGACTGGGGTGGCTGGGTTAACTTGTCCCAACAACATCCGTGCTGGCATCTTCACAGGTAAGGCCGTTATGTTGCAGACACTAACTGGGATTTTTCCATGACTTCTTTGTAACGCTTTAGTTGAAACAACTTCAGGAATTTATCTCTACTCCCGAACCTTTCCTCTGGCCATCTGCCTCGACGACAATGAAAGGGCCTGGTTGCTTCCAGGCTCAACTTGATGGACGCTTGTAAACAGGCCACTTCACCAGGCTGTAACACCTTCTCCCTTCGGTCCAAACGCCAGATCTTCCCCACTCCTTCAGCTGGAGCTTTCTGTTCTTGCACCAGGCGCTGATAGGCCTGTCTCAACAAGGGGTGCACACTTGTAGTTGAAGTGTCTGACTCCAGAACAACAGGCGTCAACAGTCTTCTGACCAGATCAGTATTGGTTCCTATAATAAGGGAACCCGTACTGACCCCTACTGGGCGAGGACAGACCACTGCTAACGTGTCAAAAGTCTCAGTTTTCCCAGCCACCGAGGGATCAAAAGTCAGCCTGACTGGTAAAATAACCGTCATAGGGGAAGTTTTGAGTGCCAATGCCCCATATCTCCAGCTCTTCCAACTTCTGCAAGGGCAGGTGCTTGAGGTGCTTGTCATAGAAGTCTCGGTAGAGAAGGGTCACTTGAGCTCCAGTATCCAAAAGGCCTTAGTGTAGATTCCCTCTACTTGGATGGAAACGACAGGAGCAGGTCCCACCAGCCTGTCTGGAAGATTGGGGGTGGTTGGGATCTGAGTCTGTTTGGTGGCCTGAATCCGCACTACTTTCTTGTGAAAATTCTGATCTGGTTTGAGTCTCCTTTGAGTGCTGGGCATCTGGTGTGCATTGATCCTCCGCTGCTGGGCCATATGTGCCAAAGTAAATGGGGCACTGGGTCGCTCAGAGGCAACAACAGGAGCCTTCTGCAAAAGGGTTGAACTTCCGCCGCTGTCTCCTCTTGTCTTTTTTTATGAAGCTCTCTACTTCAGATGGGCACCCCAGTTTGCGCCTTCACCGGAGCCCTTCTGAAGGTTTTTCTGCGACTTTCCAAGAGACAGCTTCTTTAATGCTCTCACCAACTCTGCAGTAAGGTCTGTCAGGTTCTCTTCATTTGAGCAATTAGCGATTAAATGGCCTTCCTCTCCACAGCGATAACACTTCTTATCGTTAGAGGAGACAACACCCCTTCCTTCCTTGATCAGAGTGGACACCGTCTGCTTCACTTCCTCAAGTGATTGTTGCATATCGGCATGGGCTTCCATCACTTGTCCTACTGTTTTCTGAATTCCACAGAATGTTTGCTGTAGAGTAGTTTGCGCCTGTGCCAACTGAACTATAGCTTGTGTCAAAAGTGTCAATAGAGCTGACGGGCCCTCCATCTGAGCTGGTCTCCGATGCAGACCCAGACTGTATGATGTAAGCCGTCGCGCCATGTTTAAGACCCTTGGCAGACTCAGGTATCTGTGCCTTGGCTGCAATGAGAGCTTCTTCCTCTCTAATAGCCTTTATGAATTTGGAGTAAGTGAGGAGGTCAGTTGGACTCCTGGATCGAAGTTCTAACACAATGGGATCCAGTGGCTGGGCTCCCCTTTTGCACCTGTAGCATTAAGGATTTATTGGCCTCTTCAGCTTTCATCCCACCTTTCATTAAAACTTGTTGAAGGGTTTTATCCAGCCGTGTGACATAGTTTATTAATTTTCTCACCCTCCATTTGATAAGTGTGCTGAAAGAGATAGATTAATTCTGTGCAATCTTCAACTCTCCCATAAACTTCACAGAGTGCTTCTAGACACTCAGAAACTGAGCAGGTGGGTTTATCCCGTTTCAGGTTTCGAACTACATCAGAAGCTGGTGCCCGCAGGCTCTCTACCACCCTCTGTCTCTTTACCGTGTCAACCACATCCCACTCTTCCACCGCTTGGATGGCTTGATCCATCCAAGTATAAAAGTCATCTTCTCCCTGAAGGTGTGGGAACTTTCCCGAGAAGAACTGTAGTTTGCGATACTCATAATTGGTGGACCCTACTGAGTTTTTGAGAAGCCCTGTAAACTAGTTTGCCAAACTCAGCCACTAGCAGAGAAGGGGATTCTTCTGAGGATGTCCCTGGCTTTGAGGTTCTGACTTCTGGGTCCAGCATGGCACTATCTTTAAGAGTTGATTGCAGAGTATTGGAAATTATCCCGGACGAGCCCCCACATGTAGCGATACCCCCGTAGGGGCTGCTTAAGTTTGTTCACTCCGCCACTCTGCTTCTCAACCCCAAGGACTGTCCAAATCAGCCCCAACTGGCACACCTGGCAATAGTGTAAGTGCAAGGATCAATGAAAAGCACACACGTTATAATAAAACACAGAGATCAGCTTTACTGTAAGACCTCTATGGGAAGTAATAAACATTAACAACAGGTATACGTTCGGTGAATCAAGAGAACAGCAAATACTGTGACCGAAAGAAATATAACTCACACTTTTACACTCAGTCTGCTTTCAGGGGATTCCAACCGTAAATAACCCCAAAAGCAGAGGAAACACTTAAATGGCAACCTGAAAGTGGATTTACCTCCTCTACATAGATTCAGCTCTATGATGTCCAAGCAGGAGGAGGGCAGAAGAATGACTCTCTATTGTGTCAAACTTCTCCCTTCTAAACCCCCGACACACACAAGCCCAATAGGCAAACACTGTATCCAAATGATGCTTAATAGCTACTTTCAAGGTAAAGCTATTCCCTCCCACACCATGCAATATAGAGGCCTAAATACGCATGCGCGTGCACGTATGGCACCAGTAACTTCAGTCTCTTGGTAACAGGATGAATGTTGGGATCTTCAGCTAGCCACTTTCGTTGGTGCACTTAAACTCCTTAAACACTTAAAGTGTAATTGTAATCCAGTGGCAGTATTTGTATAGCGAATACTGTGTCTGTTCAGCAGATGCAATGAATGCCCAATAGATGGCTCCCTACTCAAACATAATGATGATATACAATATACAGAACACCAATCCTTTCCCATCTTTTCCAAAACTAGAACATAGCTTTATTTTTATTTTACCTGCATGAAAGTGATACTAAACCCAGGGCCTTGCATTCACTATATATGGTCTCCCACAGTACACAGAACATAGAAATGCAATTATTTTATTAAATATAGACTGCTAAATACCTTTTCTCATCAGCAGTTTGATCAGTCTTGTGACTTCAGCAGAACACTGGTTAAAGCTTGTAGGAGGAGTTTTCTTTCTGCTGTAGGAGGATGTGAAACCTCTGACCCTCTGTCTGTACAGTGCTGATTGGCCCTGCGCTGATCACATGCACCCTCCCAAGAACAAAAAAAAACAAACAGCATGTGCATGTGACCACTGGTACAGTCGGTATTAGATGGTCATTTCAACAATAGGAGGGGCAGAGCAGACAGGATCAAACTGCCTTTTTACACAATGCGGAGGATTAACCCCTTAGGTTCCACAGTGAGTATAACAAGCATGCTTTACTGCATATACAGACTGATTTTACTCTTGTGTGTTTAGTAACACTTTAAGGCTCAGTTCACACTAATTTTGTCAGCAGGCATCAGACAAGTGTTTGGGAAGCGTTTTTTAACGCTTCTCAAATGCCTATGAAAATTTGCTAGCACACAGTGCTGTTCACACTGAAGTGTTAGCAAAACTGGCACCTCATATGGAGTCAGGAGGAGTTGAAGCCTTCCATTCAAGTCTATGATGTTGTTGCGACACGGTTGCGGAGCGTTAATACCATTTAACTTCATTATAGGCATTTGTGGTGCAGTTTTAACGCTTGGCAAACGCCTATCAACCGCCTCAAAACCACTCCTAGATTGTTAACTCCTAAGAGCAGGGCCCTCAAACCCCTCGTGTATTGTATTGTTCCTGTATTGTCTCATGTTCTGTCCCCCACTATAATGTACAGCGCTGAGCAAACTTTTTGGCGCTATATAAATACTGTATAATAATAATAATTTGGGGAGTGTTTGAGGAGTGTTAAAAACGCTTCCCTGTCCAATGCCTGTCAAACACTATAGGGTCCTTTGGCAAGAGTTAGAAATAAAGTCAAGTGTGAACGAGCCCTAAGGGGTAAATTTCCAAATGTTTTCACAACTTTCATCCAAGATTCACACATTTTCTAATTGGATTTAATTGATAAAGTTTGAGTCATGAGTAAAATTTGTATTAATCTTGTTTAAATACATTCAATAAAAGTAGAACTAAATTGAAAACTTTTTTTTTCATTATGTATAGAGTAATGGGAGCAGTATAACCCCTGAAAGTTTTTTTCTTTGGCCATCTGTGTCCTATCGGGTAGATTTCTCTTCACTTCCAACTTCGTAGCCAAAACAGGAAGTGAGAAACCACTCCAAAGTGGGGGAATCGCTGGCAGGGGCAGACTGAGAACTCATGGGGCCTCTGGGCAATAGAGGATCATAGGGCCCCTGTGTCCTTGTCCAAACTGAAAAAAGCCTATGAAAAAGGTACCAGGGGCATTTCATGGGGCCTCCTACTGACCCCCGGGCCCTCGGGCAATGCCCTAGTTTCCAAATCGTCAGCCCGCCCCTGATCGCTGGTTGTCACCAGGATCACCAGCACTAGTGTCCCCATGGGAAGATTTCCCCTGTTGTGATATTGCTGTTGTGGAGAGAACTCAAAATTGGGTATTTCCTTTTACTTGAAGTGATATTGTGTACAACAGAGAGGGTGAATCTCCCTAACAGGGTACAGACATCAGTAATAACCTGATAGGTGTTCTAATCCCTCTCCACTCCAATATCCAAATCTAAAAAAAGTTTTTCTTTTAGTTATACTTTAAATATCTTCTGGCTAAAAAAGGAAGGTGTTTTCTTTTCTACAAAATGATCTTTTTCTCCATAAATAGTCAAGAACCTCCATTCTCCCCTCCCGTTTCCCCAGGAGGTGGATGTAAGCTTATGTCCACGGAATGTCAAGGAACCGTTTGCAGTAAAAAATGAGGTTTCATAATGATTCAAACTGTATGGCTTACATCACACAGATACACCGGGATAATTGGGGGGGGAAGGGGGGGGAATGGGAAAAAATTGTATTGTGTGTCACAGTTGCTAGACAGATGGGTTTAATAAAGAAATATATTTTTTCCTGATTTAGAGATGTCCAATGTTTTTAAGGAGAAAAAAAAGCACAGGCAGAATTTTTGTACTGTTCGGTATTGCTACACACGACTGATTAAAAACAGTGGAATGGTTTTAAAAATGCTAATATTGTCCCAAGTATTTAAATACGTCATCTCATTATTTTAATAGTCAGGAATGAGGCAGGAAATCGGGGATTTGGTTCACTGCCGATCTCGCAGGATTGTCATTTGCACTGTTATTGTTGCTTTGGATTGTCAGACATGAGGTGAACTATGTTTCTAGGCCCCAGACAACACAGGGTTGCTAGGCAACAGCCTCCCTGGTCCCATGATGAAAAAATGAGAGCAAATTAGTTCTGCAGGCACTATAAAACTGGTGTATGTAAATGATTGTTGTCATTTTGGGACTCTAACATCGTGGGGTTTTATTTTTACTCTAGTCGCAAGATCATCTTTAATTGCTGGGAATTTTGTTGAGAAATTGTTGTGTTGCAAAAATGGCGATGAATTGCATAATGTCATTTAATTGGCACCACAGAATGGTTAACTTTCCTAGCTGGCTTCTCAATTGTTATGTTTCCACAGGAAATGACCCTCTTAAATGTATAGCTGGCTATATAGAAAAATGTATTCAGTATATTTATATATTCAGTCATACGAACCTTAAAGTGTTACTAAACCCAGGACCCTGCATTCACTACATCTGGTCTCCCACAGTACACACAACACGGAAGTGCAATTATTTTAGTAAATAAAAACTGCTAAATACCTTTTCTCATCAGCAGTTAGAGCAGTCTTGTGGCTTCTATCAGTGTCCAGCAGAGCACTGGTTAAAGCTTGTAGGAGCAGTTTTCTTTCTGCTCTAGAAGGATGCCAAACCCTTGACCTCTGTCTGGGCAGTGCTGATTGGCCCTGTGCTGATCACATGCACTCTCCCAAGAAAAAAAACCCTCTCGAGTAATACACACCAAAACTGAGAATGTGCAAAATGCCTATGGTTCAGTCTGTCTTATCAGGAGATAAGAGGTGGTCGCTTAAACAAGGGGAGGAAACAGAGCAATCAGGATCAAATGTCCTTTTTACACAATGCAGAGGATTAACCACTTAGGTTCCACAGTGAGTATAACAAGCATGCTTTACTGCATATACAGACTGATTTTACTGTTGTGGGTTTAGGAACACTTTAATTATACTGATATTCTGACAGGTGATGTAGTGCTGAATGGGAACTTTTTAATGTGAAATTATTTCTGCTCATTATTAACACTAAGATAACTATAGTGCAGTATTTCGGGATATAGAAGATTTTTCACTCAAGCCTTTTTTATTAAAGAGACTGAAAAAATCAGTTTGTACCCGCTCTATATCTCTTTTATCCACTGCTTGCTAAAGTAATAAAGTGAAGGTCTGCCTATTCAGGACAATTTCCAAACTGGATGGATTGCTTGGCAATGATACTATTGTACTTAAAGTGATATTAAACCCTAATATCTTGAAACTTACCAATTCATCTATATGATGACTGCATTCGTTTTCTTTTTTCCTTTATTTTCACTGGATGATCCAGCCAGTAAGTCTGTTATTTATTAACTTCATTTAAGACCCCAAACGCACTGGGTACACTTGGCATGCAGCTTGCTTGCAAATCATATGTCAAGTTGCACCCTATTTTCCGCATTTAGAGAGCGGTCATATCGGTGCGGTTACGACTTTGTTGAAGCTCCACAAATTTCTAAAGTAGTGCATGCACAGAAAAAAAAAATGCCAGTTAGAGGGTTGAGACAAACCATTTAAGACTGACTGGGATGCTTAGAGTGGTCAGCTTTTATTCATTTATGTTAAACCTTTATCCCAAAAGAGAAACAAACTGTTCCTGTAACTGCTTGGAGTTCAGCTTTAATTTGTTAATCAAGTCCATCCAAATCTGCTAGTGAATCTAACACGACCCTTTCCGCAGACTGATGCTGCTGTCTCCATTAGAGATGTGCACAATGAAAACATTTGTTTCATTTCCAGAGAGAAGACAAGCAGCTTGGAGGCCCAGATTTATTGAAGTAAAAGGAAACAAGGGTGTCTGGCTTGCATTGCTTATGGGTTGCTGTAAATATCCATTTGCTGACTGTTTATTGTAATGATTGCCCTTTAATTGTCTATGCGTTGCTTGGCAATAAACCTTGTTGCCTAGGTATTCTGATCACTGGTCACCTCTTTGTTACCCCCACGGTATTGTTAGGATTGCAACATGTTGTCAGGATGGCCTGTGTATAGTTTGTTAAATATATGGTATGCTAAGTGCGCTGCTGATACGCTCCATGGTTCACTGCAGTACCCTCTTCCCCCACAGCCATAGACTCATTAAAGTGCTACTAAAGGTGCAGCTTTTCTTTTTTTTTTAATAAAAAAAACATGTTCTTTGTTATGGTCTTGCACAGAGCAGCCCTGATGCTCTTCTTCTTGGGTCCCCCGCCGGTGCTCCTCCCCCTTGATCAGTGCCCCCAATAGCAAGCCGCTTGCTATGGGGGCACTGGTGAATGCTTGCTCTCAAGCCGGGCTCTATGCATTGATAAGCCATATAGAGTTGGGGCTTAGCCCCGCCCCCCCACTATCTCCTCATTGGTTCCCGCCGCTGTCTCAGCCAATAAGGAGAGGGAGTCCTGAGAAAGCCGAGGCTCTCGTGCAAATCGCTGGATCCAGAGGGGGTTTAGGTGAATATTAGGGTGGGCTGTGGGGGGGAGCAACACACAGAAGGTTTTTTACCTTCATGTATAGAATGCATGAAGGTAAAAAAAACATTCTGCCTTTACAACCACTTTAAGTTAACCACTTGCCTACTGGGCACATTTAGCCCCTTCCTGCCAGGCCAATTTTCGACTTTCAGTGCTGTCACACTTTGAATGACAATTGCGTGGTTATGCAACTCTGTACCCATATGAAATTTGTATCACTTTTTTTTACACATATTGACCTTTCTTATGGTGGTATTTAATCACGACTGGGTTTTTTTTTTTTGCACTATAAATGATTTTGAAAAAAAAGGTTTTCTTTTGTTTCTATTGCAAAATTTTGCAAACAGGTAATCATTTTTCTCCTTCATTGATGTGTGCTGATGAGGCTGCACTGATAGGGAGCACTGATAGGCACTGATGAGGCAGCACTGATGGGCACTGATAGTCTGCACTGGTGAGGCAGCACTGGTGGGCATTGATGAGGAGGTACTGATGATGCTATACTGATATGTGGTACTGATGGGCACTGATAGGTGGCAATGATGGGCACTAATAGGTAGCACTGAAGGGCACTGACTGACAGCATTGACTGATGGCACTGATAGGCAGCATTGGCTGGTAGCACTGATGGGCACAGATTGGCAGCACTGATGGGCCGCACTGATGGGTACTTATGGGCAGCACTGATGGGCACTTTTGGGCTGAACTGGTAATCAGGGCACTGATAATCAGTGCCATAATTATCAGTGCAGATGTCTCCTTTGACAGTTGCTGGTTATTGGCAGTACTTTCCTCATGCTGTGACAGCGTGAGAAAAGTACTGCCAATAACCAGCAAGAGTAATTACATGGTGCTCAGCTGTGATTGGACACAGCTGATCACGTGGTAAAAGGCCGCTGTGATTGGCCTTTTATCATGTCATGTGATCAGCTGTGTTTAAAGAACACAGCAAACACAGACAGCGTTGGGTGAGTGGTGCTGGGGGCGCGTTCCTGGAGGACGTCATATGACGCCTTCCCAGAACTGGATGACCACACTGTAGCCGTCATTCAGCCGTCATTCAGCTATAGTGTGGTAAGAAGGTGGTTAATATGTTCCTGCTGTTCAGCTTAAATCTGAAGTTTAGTTCCAATTTCTTTTCTGGGATATAGGTTCAGTAACATTACTTACCTCCAATGAAGTGTATTCCATGTCCTGCTGAATGTTCCTTAGTGCAGATATGTTCCCTGCAGTGAAGGTCCACTTCACATTACAGAGTTTCTCACACTGTAGAGGCTAACCTCCATAGCTATAACATTACAATACTTTGGAGAAGTCCTGACAGTCGCCCGCCCCTTCTGTGCTCTCCTCCATTCAGAAAAGTATTTGTTTTCACAGAATGTAACACTTTCTGTGAATGGAGGAGATGATCCTGTCATTAATCCACCACTCCCCCATTCACAGTACATGAATGGGGAAGGGAAAAAGGAGAAGCCAAAAAGAGAGTGGCAGCCGTTGGAACTTTTTCAATGTACTGCAATGATAGAGTTAAGGAAAAAGGACCAATCAACAGGATGTGGGATGCATGTCATTAGTGCTAAGTAATGTTACTAAACCTTTATCCAATCATATTTAAGGGCTTCATGCTGAATGATGTCCATTAGCAGCAGGGACATTATCTGTTGGAGGGGTCGTTCAAAGGTAATAATGATAGCTTAATGCATGTGAGGAATCTTATTCAGCAGAACAGGAGCATTATTTTTCAACCATTGAGGCACACATGATTAATTACTGGCAAAAATAGGGAGAATGGTTCAAGTGCCTTATGCCTTAATGGCAGATGACAACATACTCAACTCCCTTGGTCTTCACGAAGTAGACCGGTCTAAGAAACGCTCCATGGAATACATATCCCCTGCTCTAATGATCCTTAAGTTGAAATTGAAATAATGAGGATAACAAGTACAGTATGACAATGAAAGCACTGAATGTTCAGGGAGATATGAAGGCTTTGTAGTTTCAAATTGTTATCAATTGTGATAGTATACACTCACTGGCCACTTTATTAGGTACACCTTGCTAGTACTAGGTTGGACCCCCTTTTGCCTTCAGAACTGCCTTAATTCTCCATAGCATAGATTCAACAAGCTGTTGGAAACATTCCTCAGAGATTTTGGTCCATATTGACATGAGTTACTGTTGCCTTTCTAACATTTCGGATCAGTCTGCCAATTCTTCTCTGACCTCTGACATCAATGAGGCATTTTCATCCACACAACTGCAGCTCACTAGATATTTCCTCTTTTTTTTTCGGACCATTCTCTGTAAACCCTAGAGATGGTTGTGAGTGAAAATCCCAGTAGATCAGCAGTTTTTGAAATACAGGTGAAACTCGAAAAATTAGAATATTGTGCAAAAGTTCATATTATTAGAAGTTATTATTATTGTTGTCATATTATTAAAAGTTCATTAATATATGAGATAGACTCATTACATGCAAAGCAAGATAGTTCAAGCCGTGATTTGTCATAATTGTGATGATTATGGCTTACAGCTCATGAAAACCCCAAATCCACAATCTCAGAAAATTAGAATATTACATGCAATTAATAAAACAAGGATTGTACATAGAACAATATCGGATCTCTGAAAAGTATAAGCATGCGTATGTACTCAGTACTTGGTTTGGGCCCCTTTTGCAGCAATTACTGCCTCAATGCGGCATGGCATGGAAACTATCATCCTGTGGCACTGCTGAGGTGTTATAGAAGACCAGGATGCTTCAATAGCGTCCTTCAGCTCTTCTGCATTGTTCGGTCTCATGTCTCTCATCTTTCTCTTGGCTATGCCCCATAGATTCTCTATGGGGTTCAGGTAAGGTGAGTTTGCTGGCCAATCAAGCACAGTAATCCCACCGTCATTGAACCAGGTTTTGGTGCTTTTGGCAGTGTGGGCAGGTGCCAAGTCCTGCTGGAAAATGAAGTCAGCATCCCCATAAAGCTCGTCTGTGGAAGGAAGCATGAAGCGCTCCAAAATCTCCTGGTAGACGGCTGCGTTGACCCTGGACTTAATGAAGCACAGTGGACCAACACCAGCAGATGACATGGCTCCCCAAATAAACACAGACTGTGGAAACTTCACACTGGACTTCAAGCATCTTGCAGTGTGTGCCTCTCCATT